TGGTATTTATTTTGGTAAAAATTTGGATTAAAAATTGAATTTTTGAATAGTAAAACGGATAGTTTCTTGAAATTTGTCTTGAATTCAAATAACAATAATAATATTTTTTTTTTTTCCATATTTGGAGTTTGAAATTTGACATGCAGTACCAACCATGGAACGATCTAATGATGAAGAGGAAGATGCTGATTTTGGTGGTGATTCTGAAGGTTTGTTTTCTCACTATTTTTTTCTCTATTAAAATAGTTGTCAATATATGGAATTTATTTTGAATATAATGTCTGTTTGGTTGCAATATTTGATGTGTTACCATGTTCTTGACTAAGATCCACCACAGATTGATGAACTGATACTTAGAATTTTGTCTATATCTATCTGCTACCAAATTAGGATTCTATGGTATGATCCGGACAATGGATGTTGATTTACAGATTTAATTTTATCTGTTAATAGGGATTTTGTTCTGTTACATGTATAAGTCGTTTCCCATTAAGGATTTTACCCATGAGTGCATTTGGTGCTGAATTACTTTAACCATTGAACCAGGTACCAAATATAAGTCATGGAATGCAATTTGTAGACTGAGTAATGCTATTGAGTAAAAGAATGCAACTCTTTACTTCTGGTTGACTATTGACCCTTTTTCCATTTATTGCAGACAAAGTAGATACTAGGATTGATGATTTCGCATCGAAAATTGGCTTCAGCTTCTCTCGATATTTCTTCTGGAACTCATTTATTTCTGCCGCTCAGAACTTTTCCTTCCAAATCGCATTTATTCCCCTCTTCTGAGTCAGAGTTATTGCTCACCACATGTTCGATGAAATGCCTGAGAGATATTAAGAACCAGTGCAAACGACATTTGACCCGAATTGATAAGGTTATACTACTGAATTTTTTTTTTCAAAAGGTTATTACTAATATGACTTAAAATCAATCAATATGTAGTCAAATTCGCGTGTTTACTGTCGCCTCACCGGTTTTCAATCCTTACAGTTTTTCATATTTAACTTACTGATATTTGTTTTTTGTTTGTTACGGTTGTTATTTTAAGACAGCTTGCTGATTGCTCTAGATGGCGCCATCAAAGTCAATGTTTTTCTTGGTTTGTGATTTTTATTACATTACGTACCATGCTCTTTGTGTATTTTTGTTGGTTATGTTGTACATTGACTGGATTTGGTTTCTTGGGATGGGTTTTATCTGTTTTCTGCATATTCTTACCTGTGCTACTAAAGTTTGATCGTTAAATATTGATAATGCAGGTGTTAAACATACACCAATGGGCATGGTAGAAAAAGATGAAAGCAGATAGGTAAGTTATTATATCCATGTTTATACTTCATATTCCAAATTTTATAAGTAAAAGTTGTTAAATTAATTTTTTTAGTTTTATATATGAACTTAGAACTAAAAGTTTGTGTAGGTTTCAAAAACAAAGATTTCTTGTGCTCTGTTTACATTGCACTGTCGGTCTACACATGGATTCATGGTAAAATATGTCTTTAGATGAGAATTTTGGTTAACCAATCAGTCTTTTTTTCTTTACTGGTTATTCCTTCTATCATCACATCTGATTAACAACAACTTGCCCAACTGATAGTGTTAGATAGATTATACATGTAATATGGCAATTACATCATTTTACATATCTGAGACCCGCTTCTTTGACCAAACTACCCCTACATGTTGTTTGTTGGTAAAAAAAAAAATTCATAGTTTTTGTCCAAATTGCCCCTTCATACTCTTTTTTTTGGATAAAAAAATAATGATTTACTGCTTTTTTGGTAAAAAATTATTCATTTCAACACTTCTTGCCCAAGCTGTCCATACAAACTGTTTTTTGGTAAAAAAAATTGTAGGGCGGTTTTTTTCCTGAAGGGTTTATTTGTCAGAAAAGTTAAAAGTTTAAAAAGCAGAGAGATCTTTGACTTTGCAACAATTTGGTAAATGGTGTTGATTATTTAACCCTCAAAAGAAATCTTGATTTCTTCAATCTTGAGGTGACCATGTTTTGACTTTTTGATTAACAGTGAGGTAGTGAAATTCGGACATGTTATGACATTTTTCTGGAATGGAAACCGGTCTGGATATTTCAATGCTGAGCTGGAAGAATATGTTGAGATTCCAGGTGATAGTTGAATTACTTTTAATGTTTAACCAAAGATGAAAGCTTTGGAGATTGGTCACAAGGCACATGATGCTATCCTTAGTTTTTATATACAAATTCAAAAATGGAAAAGAAATAAATTAAAAGTAGGTTGCTATTTGTTGCATTTAGGTGCGTTTGAACATACCAAATGGTGGCATGGTTCGGCATACCGGTGATGTTGAGGCTACTGTTGTAGCATGCAAGGCTGTTAAAGAAGCTGTTAAGGTAAAAAAAAAGATATATTAAAAAATTGTTAATTTGTTTTATGTTTTTGATTGTATATGAAGGAATTTGATTTTGTGAAACATATGATCTTGTATGCTGTAGATCAAGTGGGTGGAGATATTCACATCCGACCCCCCAAATAGATTTAAAATTTGATGACTGTGGATGTAATTAGCCTAGCTAACGCTAGCAATATCAACCTAATTAATAGTTTAAAAATATCATAAAGACTTAATCAGAGTCGGCACCAACAATTCCTCTTCCATCCCCTTCCTCTTTTTTTTCCAAACCAAACTGCATTCTATAGTTAACACTTTGCTACAAAGTTAATATTTTATACAAAATTCATAGCCAAGCCATCACATTTTATAAACAAATTGTCCATAACAAGAAAGAAACTACCCCACAACGGTATTCAAAATATAAATGTTCTCACATCCGGCCCCGCATCCGACCCCCGCAACGTGGGGGTTCCCCACCTAGTTTATATTATAAAACATAAGCTTTAAAGAAAAATCACATGAATTTATATGATTGGCTGAAGAATTTAGTATTAAGAAATTTTGTAGATACGTCATAAAATATTTAAAATAGTATATTTTAATATAAATATATAAAAAATATATTAAATATTAAATTTAAACATCTTAATCATATTACAATTTAAGATTGCTATAAAAAAAATTAAAAACTAACTGGAACTAAAAAATCAAAACATTTATTAATAAAGCGTGAAAAAAACACATATCGTTTAAATACATTAAATTACTAAAGCACTAAGCTCTGACGCATGGCTCTGGTAGCCTGATATCACCCATGTAATTTGGACCAAACTTAATAAAAGCGCACCGGCCCATCTGTAAACATAGTCCAAAATTAACGACGCACACACGCAAAAAATGGTTTAATATGCGGCCCAGCTTCATTCCACCATTTTTGACAAATCTATAATTAATAAAATCAGTGGTTGAAAATTGTTATCGCGAACCTTACCGTATTTTTGGTTTTTACCATATATATATATATATATATATATATATATATATATATATATATATATATATATATATATA